TCTGTGAGCATCCATCCACCAGTAGCTGGTTTATCTGCAGCTTCCTCTCAAACGCCTCCTTCATGGGACTGTAAACTCCAACATTACAATTGTCTTGATGGCTCCAGACCAGATAAGCTACTTCACAGACAATAGAGATTAAAGTATTGTAGTGCTACCTGCTGTTTTTTTTTAGGTCAGTAGTTTCTTCTTGACTCTCTTGGAGACAAGAGTTGATCCCTAGATGTGATTTAGCGACCTTAGTGAATTTTGGATATGAGACTGACTGTTGGTAAAGAGAACTGTGTTTAGATAGATGTGGATTACCAATTCTAAAACACTAAATGCAACTTCAGTGGCAGGCTACATACCACTGATTCATGCCATTGTAAGCCTGACCAGACTGGCAGGTCCTCAACCCAATACTGAAGACACCACACATGCACAAACAAACAGGTCTGCGACATGTCAACATTGTTGCACTAACCTGTCCTTACAGTTTACACACTTGGTGGTCTGGAAAAATGTGACTGTGACTGTGTGGTGTTGACAGGTGCAACTTATTAGACCCATTACAGTCCCTGGGGCACTATTTGTTCAGACTTTCACCAGTGAGCCCCTTACCATTACCACGAACAGGTGGCACATTTGGAAAAACTGCAATGAAATGACAAGGGATGTAAACTACACCTTTGAAAGGGGGAAGAGGAGGGGTACAAAATGTTGCATGGTGATAGTGATGATTATGTGATAAAAACTATTAAATTAAAGAACATCTTTAGGCTACGAGGTGTATATGCAACTGATGACGTAACCAGTTACTTTGCAGCCTGTGTATACAACTGATAATTACAAATATACATCTAGATAAAACTAATGCAGTCTAATACAACAGTGCTGCAATAAATCTTTCCTTCAAGAAAGTCATAACTTTTTATCAAAATTGTTGTAGAGTTGTTGATTAGGTTGTATGATCATTGTGGAGGATGTAGTGTGTGGAGCTGTATTGTCTTTTACAGAGAGGTGTTTCTGTTGTTCAGCCTACCGCGTATAAATGGGACAAAATAAAAGAAACACCAATACACCACGCCGGGTGTCCGCAGACTTATAGCAGCAATATTAAGAAATATTACGTTATAAACCAAACAGCTGCTGCTGCTTCTTTAAGAAGAATTAACAGCAGAATAAAGCAGCAGAAAAGGCAGAGAAGTAAACAACATAAACTCCACAGCAGCTGCAGCCGAAAAACACTTCAGCACTAGTTTCACTTTTCAGACCCTGAGTCTACGTCCATTTGTTTTCACAGTCTCACACACTGTTCCCTTTTGTTTTCATCTGTTAAAGTAATGGCTTTTAGTCATTCACATGTAGTTAATGTTCCCTACAGCTTCTTTCCACGTTCCACATTATTAATATTTAATTTTATTAGGGAGCTATGAATCTGTTGCAAGCTACAGCTATCCCCCCTAACATAACATAACAATTTGGAAACACTGATTTTTCAACCTCATGATGACCCAGTGCCAACAAATGCCTCCACATCCCAAAAGAAACGCAAGATGCTTCCCTCATGAAATTTTTAAAGTCTAAAGAATTTCAAATACAACCAGCCATTCAATGTCACACAAGATGTGAACTTGAAAACAAGCCTGAGGAAATGTGTCATCATCCATTTTTTTGCACCTCTCTCCCAATTATAGTCATTAATGTTTATTGAGGAAATAAAACTTCTCATATGATTTGATCAAACATGTAGTAAAACTGCTGAAGTGGACAAACAGTGTTCCTAAGGAACATCGTAACCTGGGGTTGAATCAGTGTACTGACCCCACAGTCTGTGACAAACGTATGTTAGAGCAGAAGCAACTCACTGCAGCAACCACAGAATAATAAAGAAGCAGCAGTCATGCAGCAACAGAATAATGTCAGCATTATTCTGTTGCTGCATGGCATCCATCCTGACACTGTTCCCTGACTGTAAGTGAATGTAGAAGTGAAACACCCAGCTCTATTCCCAGAGAACCAGCTGCAGCATCCTCCCTCCTAAAATAGTCAAACCTTGTGACTTTTAAAGAGCAGTTTGGTTTCTGTTTAGTGGTGTAGTAACCTTTTCCGACTCTCTGCTGCTCAACATCAATGGATGAGAGCGGTAGTAGGATGTAGGTCATCATCATTTTTTCAATTTAGGGGCTTTGCATTCCTAAGAGACAGTAAATACTAAGAATTACAGTAAGCTGACATGTTTCTTAAAAGTATATTCATCATTTCTGGACTCCGTTTTCAGCCCAAAAGAAAAGAAATTAAATATTTTCCCACCAGAAAGTTATTCCCGCTCATGTGGAGCATTTAGATCAATATACTGGTGGATGAAGTGATTAGATTAGATCCTGCACATTATCTGCACATATATAGTGTTTATACAGTAGGGTCCAAAAGTCAGAGACCACTTTCCCATTCACTTATACACACTTATAAATACATACATTTGTACAATATGACATAGTATAGTCTGGTAAGTGCACATCCTACAGAAGCTGTGGAGTTGACTCTTGATTTACACCAGCTCTCAGCCTGCACCTCAGAAGTCTTTAATGACATCAACATGTAAAAATATATTATTCACATCTCTTGTGTGATCACATCGTACAGGTACTCTGCTGACTTTTGAAGAGACATGTTTACCTTATCTATGAGAGAATAACAATCCTGCCGTGGCGCATGGATACGTCCTCCGGTGTTACAGTAATAAGTCCAGTAGTTAAGACAAAACAGCGCTGACCCTCTGAAAGCCCATAAGACGTTAGGCTGGAGTCATTCGGCTGTCTATCGCAGGGTTCAGTCTCCGGCAGCGTCTCAACAACACACTGACTAAACTTGCCTCATTCTTAAAACACTGGCCGGACTGCTTCGTGACGTCACTCGCCTCTCCACCAATGACGGACTGTCATCCACCTACATGTCATCAGGCTCATTGGACTGAATGCAGCGCTGACTTTACATGATCATGCTGGAGGTAAAACAAAGCGCGCTGGGAAGAACATTCAGCTGCGCCCAAAAAGTAAAAAAAATTACAAACAAATCATACATGTGAATAAATAAAAGATACAAAAATTCAACAAAAAAGACGAATAATAATAATAATAATAATAATAATAATAATAATAATAATAATAATATTAAAAAACGAATTCAAAGACTAAAAAAAGGACAAATATATAATTCAAATGACTTCTTCAGACAAACATTTCAGAATATAAATTAACTGCTGACATAGACTTTGTTACAAATGACTCGATGTTCAAGATCAATTAGAAACAAGTGAAATGACGGACTTGATCTAAGAAATTTCAGGAGGTTTACAATATTGCGTAAATTCGTATCCACTTATTTTGAATGTAAGGATAAGAATTTATGCAATAATATGTAACTTTCAAAGTCCTTCCAGAATATAATGCAATATGAGCAACAGTAGAACAAATGAGATATGCACTCATGTTCAGTCTTACAAAAAGTATATTTGTAGTAAAAAAAAAAAAGGCCTTTTTTCACTACCTGTCCGTGACGTCAATGGAAAACCTCAGCAGATCAAGAAAAGATGTGAAGAAGAGTTCATAAGGATTTAGGTAAAGACAAATGCTGAGCTGAGAGAATCCCACAGCACTTACACCAGGCTTTTTTTGTTTTTAAATAGCCTAACTTAATTAATTATATATAACACATGGAACATAAGTACCCTCAATGTTTTAGGCCTACAATTCAAGTAGTCCAAGGTTTCCTGTTCAAAACACCTGAGAAAGGATGTTATCAATTTATACATAGATAATTTTAACTATCAATCACGCACAGGTGGCAACAACAAAATAGATATAATTGAAAATACAAAACAAAACATACGGGACAAAAATAAAATAATTACATGATACAAGAGGAAGTTGAACAGTTAAAATAATTAAATAAATATTAGGAATTGAGCAAGAGGCTGGAGTAAATTATATTCACACATAAGTTTTAATACATTTGTTAAGTAGAGAAGAATTTTAGTGTATTCCACAATAGGCGGATTTAGTGAAACAACATTTTTGTCCATAGTATTTTGTTATGATGATGTTATTATTGCATTTCTATGCAGCGTAGGCTATATGCATTGAAATACCCATGAATATGGCCTGTATACACCTGGTCCCCTAAAGATGCTCATTAATTTAATGGATGGAGAGAGCACAGATTTACAGTGCTCTCTATCCCTGCTGAGGATGGTCTTTTCAGTGGAGTAGGAGGCATCTTGCGTCCAACAGGGTTTCTCAGACACGGAGACCTGTAGCCTGTGTAGTAGTACAACCTGTTTTTAGTCGCAGTACAATTCAGGATAAAAAACATTTCTTCAATAAGTAGCTTCATACATCTTTACTGCTGGACCTAGTACTTCTAGGTCTACTGGCACAAATACTTTTACTGTATAGTTTTTGAGTAATGCAGTGTCAAACTCCCTTCCAGAGAACCAAAACAAGCCATTTTGCCTAACTTTGATGTGGGACAAAAAACATTTCTTCCATAAGTAGTTCACGAGCATTATATTTTTGGACTTAGTAGCCTACTTCTCAGACTATTTGCACAAATATTATGAAGTACTTCTACTTTATAGTTTCTGAGTAATCCAGTGTCAAAGTCTCTTCCAGAGAACAAGAGTAAGGCTTTCTGTCTTCACTGCGGTCAAGCCAGTCGCCATTCACGTTTCCGTGGTCAAACCAATCGGCCTGACTGCAGCTGAAAACCGAGATGTGAGCTGCAGTGCTATTCTGATGTGAGCTGTTGTAGGTTCGACGCTGTATTTCTTCAGTAAACGTATTTTCAAGTGAAATTTCAAATTCCCGATTTATACGTATGACTATGAACGCAGCCTCAGTGCACAGGCCAATAAAAACTCGAAGCAGACTTGCCGTAAAGTGTGACAGAGGTGTTTAGAGGTGTTTGCCTCATTCAAAGCAGTTAGCTGCCAGTGTCATTATCGTGAGAGGCTGTAGTGGACGAACAGAGCAGCGGTAGGTAGGTGTCCGTTTTCCTTTGTATTTTGTCATATACGTTACTTATAAATATTTATAAAAATAACAACATTATCCAGCCGGCTAACAAGCCTTCTACCAGGTCATGGTCTGTCGCAATACCCACAATAGAATCAGTAGCATCAGAGACCTTTAGATAAGAGATGCGACAGCGAGGGGTGAAAACAGAGAGGGGTTGCGGTCGAATTGTCTTTTTTAGCTGCGTTCGTTCTCGACTTCAACTAAGTTAGTGTTCAACGTAAACTGCCGGTGACTGCAGGGGTGACACACTTACGTCAAGTTGGTCACATTTTACTTCCTGTTGCATCAGTGAGCTCACTGGATCACTAATTTCTCCTGCTGCCTGGACGGCTGTTCGGATCTGTTCCTATGAACAGGACCAGTGTCAGACCAACACATAAATTCATCGCAACAAAAAATGATACACATTTATCTGGTAAACAATAAGTGAGATCCCAGTCTTCACATCCAGTAACTGACTGACATATTCATTTTATGTGTTTACTGATCGAAAATAGAAATGCAATGCTTTTGTTTTTAGTCCCGTTTTTCATGAGTTGAAATAAAAGATCTGAGACTTTTTCTCGAAAACACAAAAGAGACACACACAGACAGAATTACCATGATGAGATAAGATCCTGAGGCCTGTTGTTGTGCCATTCATCTGCTATCATTGCCTCATGTTGCAGCATGATGTACACAATTCCTGGAAGCTCAGTGTCCTGCAGAGTCACCCACCATGTCACCCACTGAGCATGTTAGGGATGATCTGGATCTGCATGTACAACAGCATGTTCCACTTCCTGCCAATATCCAGAAACTTCACACAGCCTTTGAAGAGGAGTGGTCAAAAATTCTACCTGATCAACTCTGTACAAAGATGTGTTTTCTGACCCATGAGTTTCCCCCCAAAAAGTGCTGTAGCTCAAGTCATGAGAAATCCAAAGGTCAGTGTCTAATAAATACATTTACATTAATAATAAACACATTTAATAAGCACATTTTAAAGTGGCCTTTTATTGTGACCAGCCTGAGTCACACCTGTGCAATGATCATGATGTGTAAGCAGCATCTTGATATGACACACCTGTCAGGTGGAGGGATGATCTTGACAAAGGAGAAGTTTTCATGAATACTGATTAAACACATTTGTGAGGAAGATTAAAGAGAAACATATCTTGTGTGAATTTAGAAAAAAATATTAGATCTTTAATTTCATCTCATGAAAAATGGGAGCAAAAACAAAAGTGTTTGTTCAGTGTATAATAATCATACATTATTAGCTTTAAATTACTTCAAACATCTGAATATAGTGTCAGTGTCTCTGTGTGTGCTGTCTTGAACTCCACCTGGTTGTCTGAGCTGTACAAGCACACTCAGGGCCTGGATGTTCACTGGAATATGTCAGTCAGTTACTGAAGACTTTACTGATGATAGAACAATGTTCAAAAGATGATTCTTCAAAGGTTTCAACCTTTAGAGAACCTTCTGGGAACCTTGTAGAAACATTTTTTTGAAGGTTATATTTATAAAACTGAAAGGGTCTTTAGAGGTAGAAGCTTGGAATAATGTTGCACTGTATTTTATAACATTAACACCTCAGTATTATATCATCAGTGTGCATTACACAATCTACACTGCTCAAAAAATAAAGGGAACACTTAATCATCACAGTATAACACAGTATAAGTCAGTTAAACTTCAGGGATATCAATCTGTCCATTTAGGAGATGTGGCCACAGACACTCTCTCCTAATCGTTCCTGACTGATTCTTCTCTAGTTTTGTGTTTTGCTAGTGTCTTTGTCACTACTGGTAGCATGAGGCGGTACCTGCAGCCCAATCAGGTTGCACATGTAGTCCAGCTCCTCCAGGATGGCACATCCATACGTGTAGTCACAAGAAGGTTTGCTGTGTCTCCCAGCACAGTCTCAAAAGAAGATACAAGGAGACCGGCTGTACACGAGGAGAGCTGGACAGGGCCGTAGAAGGGCATCAACCCAGCATTACCTGCTCCTTTGTGTGAGAAGGAACAGGAGGATCACTGCCAGAGCCCTACACATGGCCTCCAGCAGGCTCCTGGTGTGCATGTTTCTGACCAAACTGTCAGAAACGGACTCCATGAGGGTGGCATGAGGTCCCGAAGTCCTCTAGTGGGAACTGTGCTCACAGCCCAGCACTGTGCAGCTCCAATGGCATTCGCCAGAATACACCAGAATTTGCAGGTCTGCCTTTGGCGCTCCGTCCTCTTCACAGATGAGAGCAGGTTCACACTGAGCACATGTGACAGGCGTGAAAGAGTCTGGAGACGCTGTGGTGAATGTTATGCTGCCTGTAACATCATCCAGCATGAGCAGTTTGGTGGTGGTCAGTGATGGTCTGGGGAGGCAGATCCTTGGAGGGTGGCACAGACCTCCATGTCACAGCCAGCGGTACCCTGACTGCTGTTAGACACTGGGATGAAATCCTCAGAGTGATGATCAGACCCGACACTGGTGCAGTGGGCCCTTGGTTCCTCCAGGTGCAGGACAATGCCTGCCCTCATGTGGCCAGAGTGTGTAGGCAGTTTTCTTCAATTTCCACCACTTCTTTTCTTTTCTGGTTAGCATGCTAATCAGTTAGCAGGGGTCTGGCAGGCCCATCTTGTCACTTTTTGATAGCGAGTCACTGTAGCGTCGAGTCTGCCCTGAAGAAGTAGCTGCTCAGAGGACGTATTATAACCTTTTGTATTGTAAATGAAAAATGGCTGAAGCTCTTGACAAGCGACAGTCACCACCATGTTCGGCAGCAGAGAAAACTTACGTATTGCACCTTTTAAAAACAAATTGACTACACCTGCTTCACTATATACAATACACACCACACTGAACATGAACATCATTCCAACACATGATGAAGTGACCACATGCAGAACAAGAAGAAAACACACTATTACAATGATGTGAAAATATCAACATTAGGATAAGTAGGATAAATTCAAATTCCACAGCACAAGTCTGTCAAGGTGAACAACACTGCAGAGGATGAATCTGCTTATTTGATATGATCATGTGATCTGCCATAATTTGATCTGCCATATGCAACTGTTTGAGCATTAAGATGCTGACGGTGGTTCATTGATAGTAACTGAACAAAAGTGATGAAGCAGCAGGTACAAATGCTGATGATGGAGAAAACAAAGGAAGCTCAGTAACTAATGAGACATGAGGCTGAACAGTACAGAGACATGTGGGCTCACTATTTGGCAAGCAGCAGGTCACTGTTACCCTTTTTATCTAATGTGTTATAACAGCTAATAAATGATTTACAAGTGTTAACAAGCAAATTAGTTAACTAGTTATAAACCAATCATAAATCCTTTATAAGGGGAGTCTGATTGTAAAGTGATACCAACAGATCAAATAATTCATTTTTCTGCTCTGGAACACTTTCTCTTCTTGAGTGTGGAGTTCATACTCTTTCATGTATTTTTTCATTTGTGTTTTAGTCCCCTCTTTTTACTATCCCAGGTCCATGCCCTTCTAATTAACAGAGCCGTTTGTAACTTCGCTTTTTCTTTCAGTCATAATGTCACAGCCGCCTCTCCTCGTCCTGTACGGGAGCCAGACTGGCACTGCCCAGGACACGGCCCAGAGGATCGCACGGCAGGCCAAGAGGAAGCGTCTGCAAGTTCAAGTGCTGCCTTTGGATAACTACAACATGGTGCGTGAGGTGTTATTATGTATGGCGAGGAGAGGGGTGGGTGACAGACCTATATACTGTTCAAAGCTGACCCAAATCACGTGAAAACACTGTGGCCTGCTGTGTTTCCTCTCTTCAAACAGGCCAACCTGATCTCTGAGTCTCTGGTGGTTTTTGTGTGTGCCACCACAGGCCAAGGAGACCCTCCAGACAATATGAAGGTAATAACACAAATAACACATGTGACATAAGAAAAAGATGAGAGGAAGAATAGTTTAATTGAGCTTTTGGGTGACCTGTCCCTTTATTTGTGTCTCTATTGTCTCACTTTCTTTAAAGAACTTCTGGAGGTTTCTCTTCAGAAAATCTTTACCTGTTGGGTCTCTGAGTCGCCTGGACTGTGCTGTACTGGGCCTTGGGGACTCCTCCTATCCAAAGTCGGTGCTTATCACATTCACAGTTCTCACACTCATATTAAGAATATCTCATCGTCTTCAAAACATCAACTGATTTTGTCCATAGGTTCAATTTTGTGGCCAAGAAGCTTCACAAGCGCCTCCTGCAGCTGGGAGCCAGCGCACTGCTGCCTGTCGGGCTGGCAGACGACCAACATGACCTGGGGTAAGAAACTCATTATCACTGACAAATAACAGGAGGTGACACAAGGAGCTGAAGCAAAGAAAACCATTCATTTATTCAAACCCAACACAAACAAATAGAAAGGCCAAAATGCTATGAAGGGTGGTCAGTAAATCAGTAGTGTGGGAGTGTATGCATGAATGATGAAATATTAAGTGAAGTCTTGGTAAAAGGGAAAAGCAACGACAAGCACATGGAGCACGGGGGGCAGAGTTTCCCCTTTCTCTCTCCATCATGGCACAAGTGGGCTCCTACAGTGCCGGGAACAACAGGCCCAGGTGTTCATAATATAAACGATGACCTGACCTCACCTGCTGGGCTTCTGCAACACAAAACACAAAGGTTGCATCCACACTACTACGTTTTAGTTTTAAAACTCTGCCTGGTGTCCACACTTCTCTGGAGTTTTCAAGCCTCTAAAACAGAGACACCGTTTTAGTTTGAAGACTCCAGGATTGTGTTGTTTCTGGATGGACAGAAACTGAGAGCTTTGGAAATGATGATGCAGACACCCACAGTCGCTCCCTGATCGGGTCTTACCATGCCGTTTGGCAGATGTTTGGAACATGCTTCACATTAAAAGACAACCAGGAAAGGGAGGAGATGGTGTTCTTAAGCAGCTGAAGGGCTTTTAATGTGAAACACTCTTGTAGGAAGAGTTGATTTTCTCTGATGGTAGCTAGGTAGCCTCAGACAACCCCACATCAACAAACTGTCCCTTTAAGGTCACTGTGACCTTACAAAACAGGTTTTTGGCCAAGCCTCATGAATTCATACACACATTATGATACAATTAAACACAAATATGTAAAAGAATAAAATCATGTAGTGATGTCATTTTGTATCCAAATAGTCAAAGGTCAGCCTCACTGTGACATCATAATATTGTGCAGGAACACTTCTGACTGTAAGTTGGGAAACAGAAGAGAAGGTTGTGACCATAGTTCTTGCAGCTTGTCTGGTTGGCGGAGGGATACGACCAGGATGTTGCTGTTTGTTATGTGCTCATCTCAACATCTGTTTGAACAGGTCAGATGCTGTGATTGACCCGTGGCTCGCTTCATTTTGGGAGAAAGTATTGACCCTGTACTCATCTTTGGCTGATGTGACACCACTGAGGGAAGATGAACCGTGAGTGTTGACACCTGATTCTCATTCTGTGGTTGATTAAGACTTTGTTCTGTGTCTTTGTTCTGTGTCTCATTATTAAATCCTCTTTGGGGTCTATGCAGATGTTTATGCAGCTGCACGGGATTTCATTTTGCTTGTTTCTTGTGGCAGACTTCCTCCAACATACACGTTCCACTTCCTGGATGATGTGAAAGAGGAGACAGGTGACAGGCTGAGGATAACCACAGACCAAACTGTCCCCTCCCAGTCTCATCCCTTTCCTGCCAGACTGGTGTCCAACAGGAGAGTCACAGACCCGTCACACTTCCAGGATGTGAGGCACATCGAGTTCGACATCACTGGATCCAGCATTCAGTGAGTAGCCTTGGTGTGAAAGATTTATCTTCTATATTTCCATCTCTTGATATTGTCAGTTCCATGATGTTACTTATGAATGAAGAATGACATCAGTCTGTAGTGTGACCTGATTGGTCCATGTGGGACAACTAGCCCATTTAAGGTGGTCTCCTCCCTTTTGTCCTGTAAAATAACCTAATGAACGTGTGTGCACCGAACCATAGTTAATACATTTTCTTCCTTTTGAATGCAACATGAAAGTATAAAGTGCTGTACAGACCTGATCCATCCTGAGTTGTGATGTTGTTGTGTAGGTTTGCAGCCGGTGACGTGGTGATGATGTGTCCTCGTAATGCACCAGAAGACGTAGAACAATTCTGCCAACTGCTGGGATTAGATCCAGAGGGAAGGTTCACTCTCAGGCCCACAGACAACACTGCAGGTGTGTGTGTGTGTGTGTGTGTGTGTGTGTGTGTGTGTGTGTGTGTGTCTTATTTAGCACTTGGCTTCAAATGGAAGAGTATACTGTCAAAAGCGATTACATAGTAAATACATTTCATTAACATCATGTTTTTGACAGGTTTTAATTATTTGGAGCCTAAAGTGAAGATGTTATTAAGGGAAATAATCAAACTAATAGTTTGTCTGTATTCATTATAGAAATTTCATTCAGAATTTTTCCCAGTGACAGTTTTACCTCATGTCGTATTACTTTCATCAGAATTTTCCACAAGGTCTCATTTTATTTCACAACTTCACTTTTCATCACAGTAGAATCAATCTCTGCCACACACACACACACACACACCTTTTTTTTTTTTCCAAGTATATTTTTGGGGGTTTTTATGCCTTTATGATAGAACAGAAGAGAGAGAAAGGAGATGGGGGGGCAGAGAGAGGGGGAATGACATGCAGTAAAGGGCCATCTGATGCGGGATTCGCACCGGGGCCGACTGCAGCGAGGAGCCTCTACGTATGGGGCACCTGCTCAACCCACTGCGCCACTTGACGCCCCACACACACACACAAACACACACACACACACCTTTTAGCCAATCACATGCTGTTTAGCAAGTTCACTTACTGCCAGATAGTTAGCAGCCTCTTCTTAGGATGCAGCCAAAAAGACAGCCACCAATTTTAGCCAACATAAACATTAGCATTGTGCTTGTGTCCACGTGATGGATGCAAGTGTAATATTCAATCAGTTTTTAACTCTGTTTTAGTCTCCATCAGCTCATTGACTTCTGAGACTTTGGAGGCAGGACAATGGCTGCCGTTTCCACTCCTCTGATTGGTTACTGTCAGTCCAGTTATGGCAGCCGTTTTAACAGTAATCTATATATCTATATTTACATATAGATATATAGATATATATCTATAATATCATTTCTCTTAGTCAAAATTGTATTCTCATTAGTCAGACTGGTAATTTAAGATATCCACAATAACACTTATCAGTAAAAATTGTATTTCAAGATATTTACAACTTTGATTGTACTAGTCAAACGAAAATTTAAAATCTAAAACTTCTGCTGTTTCCATTTAATAGATGGATCTGTAATTAAATTCTTCCCACTCAAAAAGAAAATTTCAGGTATTCACAGTTCTTCCTGTCCACAGTTGTCGAATCAGATATAATTTTTTGACTTTCGTGTGCATTGGGCTTTTAATTTCAGATATCTGCAATTACATTTTCAATATCAGAATATATCTGCAATAGAATTCTTACTTGGAAAAATATCTACAATCCAATTGCTACTAGTCAAATTTTAATATCAGGTATCCATAATGAGAAACCATCCCAGATCCATAATGAGCCATAATCCAAAATTATTATTTTGAATAGCCAAAAAATCAGCCACTGGCCCCGCCTCCAAAGCCTCCAAAGTCTCCAAAGTCAACTTGACAAGTGGGCGAGTGCTGAGAGGTTGGGGGCATGTAGGGAGCAGCGAGCTCGTGCTTGTCACAGCCCCGTGCACTCAGGACCACAGTTGTGCACAAGGGAACAAAAAAGAGGCCTCTCTGTTCGTAGATACTGTTATGTGTCCTCGTATCATGTGCATGGTTTATATGTGCATGAGTTTTGAGACGCCATGTGAGAGTGAAGTTGCAGGACATAAAACAAATACAGTGAGCTAAAAAAGCAACTACATGAGCTACAAGCAAGTGCGGAGTTGGGTGATTATACTCTGAGCCTTAATAAACTCCTGATGGTGATGATCCTCTGTTACTCAGCCTTCAACCACCTGCTTTCTGCACGATCCTCTGTCTCCTCAGTTCCAGCCAGGCTTCCTCAGCCCTGCTCTGTGCGCCACCTGGTGGAGAGTTACTTGGACATCGGCGCTGTCCCCCGCCGCTCCTTCTTTGAGATGCTGTCTACCTTCTCCAACAATGAGCTGGAGCAAGAAAAGCTGGTTGAGTTCAGCTCAGCGGCAGGACAGTCCGAGCTGCACAGCTACTGCAACCGGCCCCGACGCACCGCACTGGAGGTGACAGCTGAGGAGTGGAGTCAGTGCTGGGCTGCAGTTTAAACCTGACAATAACAGACCCAGCCTCGCTTCTTACATCGTTAGAATGTCAGATTATTTTGATGTTACACGTTTTTGTTTGTAAGAAATTAGTCAGTCCTGGTGAATATTTGTAGTAATAGTAGGAGTCAGATTTGTTTGAGGCTTTAAATCTATAAAACTGTGTTTTGATCTGCTGGTTGAGTATGTCTTGCTCTTGCTGCTGCAGGTTTTGGCAGATTTCCCCCACACTACAGCACAACTCAAAGTGGACTATCTCCTGGATCTTTTCCCTGAGATCCAGCCTCGCTCCTTCTCCATCGCCTCCTCTCTCCAGGTAGATTGTCCTTTATAGCAACGATTTAACTGCTATGAAAAAATATGCTGATTCATCTGTATGCCTTCACTGGTATTACTCAAGACAGATCCAGGAGAAGTCACAGTGTAATCTCTTGTCTCAGGCTCACCCACACAGGCTTCAGATCCTGGTAGCTGTTGTCCGGTACAAAACCAAGATACATAAACCACGAAGAGGCCTCTGCTCCACCTGGTTAGCCTCCCTGGACCCCGCTCAAGGTCTTTCACTACATGTTGTATCACTCACAAAAATGTGCCTGTGCTTCAGGCATAGAGATTCCTTTATTCTGACTGGCTGAGGCTGGCATGTATTATTCTGTTGTCTGTTAATAGCATAAAGCTAAAGATGTGTCAACACAGTGAATCTATTTTTAGGATTTATTGCCCCAGATTAAACAGTTCTCATACCAATACCGGGTAGAAGAAAATGCTCAAACAGTTGCAGAGTCTGGATTAATAACAAATAAATACCAGTCGCTAATAAAGTTCAGGTAAAAAATGTTAGGACTTGTTGCTGAGATATGACCTCACTTCCTGTTTGGGATGGATGAATACTTTGGAAAATCAAAAATCCATGTGATTTTCTGAGGCTTTGTCTACAGATCATCTGTGCCAGTTGTAGTGAAGATTGGACAGAGTTTTGCAATGTTAAGGAAAAACTCTGGTGCGAGTTGGCTCAGTGCTTTTTGCTTAATCCTGCTGAAAAACAAACAAACAGACACAGGAGAGAACATAATCTTTTGAGTGGAGGTTACAAGCAGCAGCTAGAAACTGTGTGGCTGAACGCCAAGCAGAGTCTGTGGACAAACACAGACAAAGAGCAGGAGTGGTAATCACCTCCAAACAAGTGTCCTGACACACTGCCATACTGCTTCACTGCCTGAACAACTATAATTGCATTAGTTTTTCATAAATTATCATTACAGTTGATTCACATTGACATACAACATTGACTAATCATACAAACACCAATCCCGTCAATGAAATAAATAAATAAAAATCTATGAATAATGTATAAATAAATAAAAAGTTACCAGGAGCGACACTGGAGAGCTTTTTCTTTATTGACAGTTTAAGACCTAGTGGAAAGACTGCAGTCAATGAGTGAATGAGAACAGGATTTCTTTTTAAACTCAGAGCTGCAGAGTGAAGGATATGACACTGTTGTTGTTAGTTATGTGGAAATGAACATTGTCCTGAATTTATCAAAGCAACAGCAACATAGAGGTAAACAGCATTGACAAGATCTGAAACCAGGGGGACATCTTACTGAGATATGACAGAATGCATTTGTAAAAATGTGAACTGTGTCTCTACACAGAGGAACCTGAAGAACTGAGGAAAATAAAGGCTGCTATTTGACAAGTCCTGTGTTCCTGCAGGATAGAACAATAAACAAACACCTCCTGACGCAAAAAAATGTTGATTTCCTGTTACATTACATAAACATTGACTGTGGATGTGTTTTACTACATGGTGTTGCAGGGGAGGTGTATGTGCCTCTGTGGGTGAAGAAGGGCACTCTGAAGTTCCCTAAAGACAGGGACACCCCTGTGATAATGGTTGGACCTGGAACAGGAGTGGCGCCATTCAGGTCTGCTATACAGGAGAGGATTGCTGAAGGAAAAACCGGTGAGATCTTCACCTCTCTGACTTTGTCTCCTCTGTTCAGTAAATGAGTTTTTGTCAGACCTCTGATGATGAGACGCCTCCTTCTTGTCTTCCCGCTCTTTAGCCAATGTCCTGTTCTTCGGCTGCCGTTCAGAGTCCAGAGACTTCTACTTCAGGTCAGAGTGGGAGGAGATGATGAAGGCGGGACACCTGACCCTCTTCACTGCCTTCTCACGAGACCAGGTCACACACACACACTCACAGGGAGGGACAGAAACTCAATCACCGGTATCACTGTACTGCCACAGATCAGATACATAACGAATAAAGAAATAAAACCAGGACTAACTGTTGGACAGATAAACCAATGTATCGGACAGATTGACATTTTGACCTGACGGTGGCGCCAGATGAAAAGTCAAATTCATTGTCAAGTTAACCTGTGAGAATGTGTGCAGCTGGTCCATCCACGCTGCCTTTAACTGGCCAGAACCCTTTCAACCTTTCCTACAATACCCAGCATTCATTGCTAACGCTGCCCCTGCCTCAACCGGCAGATGATGATGAAACTGACTGGGTGTTTGTTTGTTTGTTCAGGAGGACAAGGTTTACGTGCAGCACCGTGTGAAGGAGAACGCTGAGCTGCTGTGGGACCTGATCGCCAATAAAAGTGCCTGTTTTTACATCGCTGGGTGAGTCCGATGCACCAACACTAATCTGGATATTTAATCTTATTGTCACCGTGGCGACAGTGATAACAGTGTACCTCCCAGTACTTCTGTATAGGACTGAAGTGTGGTATCAAACCTGGCAACCTCACTGTGATAAGAGGCAAGCTACACACCCGCTGTTGGTCAGTGTTTTCAATTCAGTTCAACAGGATTTATTGACATGACATTTTCCATGTGTTGCCAAAGCACAATTACAGTCATTCAATGGGATTAAATTATCAAAGAAAAAACATTTCCATAACAATATTAATGTAGTAAAATACAATATAATTATTAATAGAATTAATAGAATAGATTGATAATGAATAAAGAAAATGGAAAAAAGCAATATAATTATATACATATAATACATACGCACATTTACACATATACCTACACATACAGTATATACATATATGCAAATATATGCATACATACACATATACATACACATGAGTAAAAGCATTTATCCAATAAATAAAGAAAGAGGAGACGGTAGTGGTAAATATATTCAGATACATTGTTCACCAACAAATAGTTTGACCACAGAACTAAACCTTTCTAAATACAGACCACAGACCTGTACAGAGCAGGATAGTGGGTGAACAGCTCACTGTGGCTTTAACCTTGTCTCTGTTGTAAATGCCCCAATTTTACTCCTCCACTATTTTCCACTGTTTTGAGTCTCCAGCTTCTCACACGATGATTTACTCATACTGTGTTTTATATCATTGTAACTTCAATATTTTTGGTTTGTGATGTTGGTCAGACAAAAGAAGATAATCTAAAAAATAAACAATAGATAAATCAGTAATCAAAATAATCATTGGTTACATTTACATTTACTCATCTGGCAGACACTTATATCAGCGCTTATCTAAAGAGACTTACAGTGAGGGACATCACTGAGGCTTCAGAGCAGGAGAGACCTTGGTGTAAGAGCTGTGTGTAAGAGTCCTACATCTGTTTAATAAGTGAAGGAGATCAGGTGAAGTCCACAGTAGGAGCTAGTTAGACATGTGGGGGTGTTAGAGGTGTTAGAGAGGAGGTGCTCTCTGAGGAGACAGAGGGACGCCCTTCTCTGACAGACTACCTTGTATACATCACTGACCTTGTCTTGTTTGTGTGCAGCAACGCCAAACAGATGCCAGCCAGTGTGAGTGACGCTCTGAAGGAGGCGTTCCAGCAGGAGGGAGGCATGTCAGCCGACGAGGCTGAGCAAATGTTTGAAGCCATGGAGAGGACGGGCCGACTCCAGAGTGAGACCTGGTCCTGATCACATGATCTCAGCCCACTGCTCCTAAGAGTTCACATTCAGGGTCTGCTGCCATGTTGAGGCATGATACAATCCCTGCTGTGGATTTATTCATGAACTAATCTAAGTTAAATGGTCCAAATCCAGCTTCCTCTCAATTTGAATCACAGCTCAGGTGTTTGTCCTGAGGTGCTGCAGGTAACGTCTCCAACAGCCTCCTCACTGACAGACAGAATACACTTGTTGGACCTGCTCACACTGTCATACATTCATACAGCCTGCTGAGGTGGTTTCACTTAGTCAAAGAAAACAGTCACAGTGCCCCACACGTTACTTTAACAAACAGCTCAAACATAACAACCCGAACCCAAGCTGAGGGAATAGTTGCATTTGGAAAAGTGCTCGTTCACTTTCCTGCCAAGACTGAGAGAAGAGGATCAATACTAGAGCTGAACAATTCATCGAAATATAATTGAAATAAGATCATGATGAGATAAGGCCAAGTGCAATATCCAAATCACTTTTTATTGATAAAGGTAAAATGTGTCACATTGTTAGCACCATAAGTGTTGTGTTGCTACAGACACGCCCCGCACTACAAATCATATTCTCCCGATGTACAGGGACATGTTTGTTTGATACAAGACCAACAAAAGTCACATCATCATTTTTAAATGTTTTAAGTGAAGATGACCCATGCTGGGGCGGCATGGTGATGCAGTGGGTAGCACTGTTGCCTTACAGCCAGAAGGTTCTGGGTTTGAACCCCAGGCTAGGGGCCTTTAATGTTTGCGGGTTCTCCCTGTGCCTGCGTGGGTTCTCTTCAGGTACTCCAGCTTCCTCCCACAGTCTGAAGACGTGCACATTACATTACAAACAAAACTGCAACATGTAGTTTTTATTTGTTTGCCAAACCTCTGCAGTGAACAGTTGGAAACAGTTCAGCAGGTTTCTAACATTTAATTCAGCTGTAGCCAAAGTTGTGCTACTGTTTGCCAGCACATAAACACCTGAGCAGGGACAGTGTCGGCGTCACACCCACGTGTTTAGATGTAATGAGTGATTTATGAAAGAGCAGTTCATTAGTCTTAGTGGAGCCTAGATCATTGTGCAGTGATTTGAACACAGTGAACAACTTTAAATTTTGCCTTATCTAACCGGGAACCTTACTACCTTGTCTCTGCTGCTTCACACCACAGTGGCTGCTGGCTCAGCTCCTCACTGCGGAGTGACAGTAAACTTTATAGAAACATATTCCATTTAGAAAATGAGTAAAACTGAAATAACACACTGTGTATTCTTAAAATAAAGATTACTGTGTGTTCTAATGAACTGCAGTGCCATGAACATGTGATTTACTGTATGTAACAGTAAATAAACAGGTTAACTGGATGGGTGATGCAGGCAGCCATTAACACACAAAATACACTGCAACAGCACTACCTAGTGGTGTATTTAAGATACTGCCTGATATAATCTTTGCTGAACAGGAGCCACAGATTTGCTCGCACCAGACCATGTAGACTGTAGCTGTAAACCTCTGAGTGAACTGAACTGAGCAAGGGTCTGTTCTGCTGCTCATAAAATCAACTCTTCATTTATGAAAGGTTATTTCTTTTCCGAAAGTTACACAGTAGTTACACACTTTCAAGTTTAAAGTAAAATCATAAATGATCTCTTTCCACAGAGGGTCCAGGTGCAGTGAGGTTTACTATGTCAGTTTTCATTAATGATGTCATTGGAGAAACAATGTAAGAACTTCCCTCTGTTGCTCTGATTGGACCTTTAATTCATCATGAATGAAGGAGAGCAGCACAGTTACAGTAGCTGTTCTTCTCTGACTGAAACACTGAACTTGCAATGTTTTTTTTCTTCAGTAAAGATCCATTCTTAATTTTATTTACTTGTAATTAATTGTAATCACTATTAAATTGTATTTGTTAACGTGGCATGTTTGGGAAAATAAATTACCCACTTGCAGTGGAGTGTATGATATGCAAAAACAGATTTTCACATTTTCAGATCAAATTAAAGGTGAACCTGATGAGATGCTTTTAAAGGACAGTTTCACTCTGGGGGTGCAAGACTTATATATACAGTGTCAAAACAGAATTGTCTTCTAAAGTCATTTTAAATGTGCTCTGTATGAAATGATGTGGGAGTTTCCTGTTTGAATTCTGGTTTGTATGTTAAAGTACTCATTAAACACCGTCTCCACACTGAAGTGCTGCAGCACAGACTGTCTAGAGAGGAGAATCAAACTGTGTGACCCTTTCCTGAAGAGATATGTTTTTGTTCATAGCAACTATGAAAGACTGAGATAAAGTTGAAATAATTCTGGGTGTTGATTACCTCCCCTTTTGCTTGAGTTCTAACCCATACTGCAAGTACCTCCCAAACCCCCGAGCACCGACCCATGACCTAGGTACCCCTCCATACCCTGACTACCTCCCATATCTACAGTCAACTCCAAAATCCTAACTATCTCCTCATTCCCTGAGCACCCCCCCCCCCCATACCCAAATCACTTCCCCTCATATCGTCAGGGCTATCTGCCATTTCCAGAGTGAGACCCTTTACCCCATGGCCCCCACAGAGTCCTGATCCCAGCATCATGGAGTCAGTCTGGGATGACATGAAGAGACAGAGGAACTGAGACAGGTTCTCCAAGATGCTGCAACAACTTTAAGAACTGTGAGCAAATACTGATCTGATTTAGCTTTTTTCTCTTTACCGCACTAAGTTCAGCTGCAGGTTTGTGGGTTTCACAGCTACATATTCATGTTTGACAGATGTAATTTAGATAAATCAGTTTAATGGCTGTTGCTGTCAGTCCTCTTCTCACTGGTTCATTACAGTTATAAAAAAACCCAGAGACTCAGCAATGAAGTCTGAAGCTTTTTATTACAGAGAAAGAGGCAGATCCAAGCCTCATAATGAGTTTCACAAGAGCAGAGCGATCCTGGTCAAGCTGGACGCTCACATTTATTACTCTGTAACTGGAGTTACGTTCAGGTCCCCCTCAATCACTATGAAGCCCTGCACACACAACACAGTATCAGGTAGTATTCAGGCAATGTGTAGTCTCTGGTAGATGGAACTAATATAATAATTGGTATATGACACACATTTGGAACATAATGTAAAGTAGTTGATAGTAATTACTATATCAGTGTTTAATAAAGTAAGAAAAAGGGCAGTGGAGTTTAGTTTTATGTGCAGTAAATAAACTTATTAAGCAACATCATTATATTAGCTAGTATTAGCTAGTACTCTACTACAGTAAAGTGTCTGCCGTCTCCTGGCAGACAGCAGTAACAGGGGAGGTTTTCAGGCTGGGAAACTGTTACTGTTTATATCTGAAGAAGCAAAGAACTGGTGAAATCAATCAAAAATGATAGTATAGATTATAGCACAGTATATCAAGGTACAGTATATTGAATTCAGTACAGTATACTTGTAGGCCTATTTAGTACAATGTAAGATGCAGCAGCTGTAAACACACTCACGTCATAATAGTTGATCTTTTCATGAGTGATTTCCACACCTTTAGGTAGAGGGAGGGGTAGTCCAACACTAAACCCTACACACACACACACGCACACGCACACACACACACACACACACACACACACACACACACACACACACACACACACACACACACACACACACACACACACACACACACACACACACGCACATAAACTAAAGGCTTCAAGTGAATGTGGACAGTGAAGTGAGACTGTGTAATTTAGTGTGTTAGTGCTTACACTTAAAGAGGGTTAGGGTACCGCTCCCAAATTTGATCTGAACAGAAACAACACACCACACACTGTTATTTCTCACATCTTCATTGTTCTTATTATTAAGATATGTTTTTAGATACATTACAGCAGCATTTCCTTACCAGAATTGTTGCAACCCAGCTATTAGCTTTACAACTGAAAAAGAAAAAGATTTACTGAGAGTTAATTCTAATGAAGCTGTAGCCTATACAGGGCTACACAGTACCATGCTGTAGTATAGAGTGTGTGAGTGTGTGTATTTGTGCTCTTACTTAATGTCTTTAGAGAGAAGAACCAATTTGCTTCTCTTGATATCGATCTTCATGTTAGCCTGACAGCTCTGGAGGAGACAAACAGGAGAGAGTTTGATCATTTTGTTGCAGAGGAAGAAGACTAAGGCGGTTGTGTAAATGGTATATGGACTGTACTTATAAGTTTTCTAGTCTTAAATACCACTTAAAGCGCTTTATAATACAAGCCATAATCACCCATTCACCCATCACACCCATACATCCTCACACACTGATGGAACAGCCATCAGGGGTGATTTGGGGTTTAGTTTATTGCTGAGGGACACTTCAACATGTGGACTGGAGGATCCAGGGATCAAAGCATGGACCCTCTGTTTGGTGGACAACCTACTCTACCTCCTAAGGCATAAATCAACTAGAACCATGTGGCTCTGTGATGATTGGCTCACAACCAGAGGTTTTCAAAATCTGACATGGTGATCTACAACTGATCTACAACTTGAGCTCTATTGTTTTTTAGTCTGTATCTGTTTCCCTATAGTCAGGCTGTCTCATTACCACAGCTGATTACAGCTGATTACAGCTGATTACAGCTGCTGTCTGCAGTGTATCATAATGTTCTGTTTCACTGTCATACTGAAGGAAACTTTAAAAAAGGAGGATTCTCTATGAAGTTCTTCAGACTCTGTTTCTCATAAATGTAATAAATGAATAAGTTCACAACAGAAAGGACAGGATGTTAAGTGTGATTTTCAAATAAATTCTATCTGTTCTGTGAGATGGGCAATAAAACACTGCAGCTGGGGATTGTTCAGTTCAGTGTGCATGTGCGTGCGTGCGTGCGTGCGTGCGTGCGTTTACAATTGAATGAGGTTCTTGAGATGGTTTTTCCAGAGACTGGGCTGTGGCATTCATGTTGACAAAGAATCCTTTGTGACTCACGGTGATGTGCGGCGCCTCAGTGAGCTCCAAAGTAAAAGCACCCTTCAGCTGTTATAGAAACACAGCATCAGAAGGAACACTAGCAATAACAGTGATGCACACCAGACCTGAAGATTAAAATACATCATATAATATGATTTATAAATGTGAACATAGTCATAATGAATGCACCAAACACCTGGAGCCTGAATGCTGAGTAAACTGTGACCTGCTGTTGTTAACTGCAAACAAAAGGTTTTTTATTGTTTCAAATATTTTGAATTGACTTAATTGAGTTGTGTTCTTACATTATCCCACGTTTCCATCAATTCTCAAACCAGAGGAATCTGTGATTTTAATCCTGGTAACGTTTCATTGGTCGCCTGTCAGTGACATCATATCCTCTATGATCATGTGTCAGTGTGTTTGTCTGACAGAAGCTCAACATTGACTTTTATCTAGTTTTAAGCCACATACACTTTTTACACCTTGGTGGTTTTCAGCTCTGTATTTGAACCAGATGAAGGATTTTAGTCGTCGGACGTCTGGATCTGAAGTTATCAGAGAAACAAGCTGAGGAAATGTTAGACAGCTCAGCTCCCAGCTGCTGGAGACGTCCTGTCCTGTGTCTGAGCGGGGGATATATATATATATATATATATATATATATATGTATATATATACATTTAAATGTGTTTAAATGGTTACTATGAAACTGTCTGACATAAATTGTTTCTGCTTACCACAGAATGTTTTGCATGTTTCAGAACAGCATTTAACCCTGAGTTCCACTGCAGAGGAGATGATGAGAGGAGGAGCAATGGCAAGTCATTTGACAAACAAACTAAATGCTTCAGTTTTATCTCAAACTATAAGTCTAGACCATCAAATGTGGATTAACCTGTGGTTGAAAATAGTCCCCAACAAAGTTGCTGTTCCCTCCTGTTAGTTTGGTAAAAACTAAAGTGAGCAGGTATAGCTGGCTTTTATTGTGAAGCAGCTACAGGAAGCACAATATATTTTGTCTCAGAGGTCAGCACTGACAGTGATAGCGATGCACACCTCCAACTCCTCAAAAACACAACCAGCTTCTTTTACTGTGTCCTGGTGTTGTGTGGAAACTGGCTGTGTTTGTTTGGCTGCACTGGAAACAGATTCATCAGCTGCTCTGATGCTGGATTTCTGACAAAGCAGATGCTCAAACACTTCTGTAATATGCTGGTACCATGGTAAAAAGGTGAATAAAGGTCCCATTAGCTATTTTTTTTAGCTTTCCTCACCCCTGGGATGGTGGCGTTAATGGGTCCTGAGTCGTAGAGTGACATGCCGGCACTGTTGAAGACGGACTCAGAGATGCCCACATTAACCATCCTGTCACTTTTGCTGAAAACTGGATTTGTACCTGTCCTTAATGATGCCATGTCCACAGTCTTCCCCTGACTATACACCAAAGCCTGAAACACATAGATCACTTCAGTATAGTACAGGTTACAAACAGCAGTGGAGGAGGAAGTACTCAAGTACCAACACTACACTGTAAAACTACACCATTACTCACCACTTAAAAGGTTACTTAAGTAAATCATGAAATGTATGAAAACTGCCAGTGTGAAGATCTGAGGCTGCAGAATCACTAACATCTGTTTATTTCTCAAACTACTTGTTGTGAATCTTTCCATTTAGAGACCTGAGGTATGAGAGTGGGGATTAGTTTCTGGTGTGCAGGTGGCAGCTTGTGTTCAGGATCATGGTGACGTGTAGCAGACTGGTTGTGTTTGTTTCTCACTTTGAAAGACACGTCAATGCTGCTGGAGGTCACTGTGATGTCTTCGCTCAGAGTGTAGTCAAAGTTGAGGTCGATGCTGTAGTTCTCGCTCTTAAAGTTCTGCACCATGATGAAGTTCCCCAACATGGTGTTGACTTTAGGCACAGCATATCTCCGGACCAAAGTACAGAGCTGCAGGCAGACAAACAATCCTGTTGTCAGGTAATCAGCTGTATTTCACTCTCAGTGTCAGATACCACTGGGTTTAAAGCAAATCCTGAATCAGATTTTTTTTTTTTTTACATTATGAGTTTGTGTTCCCATTTCACCAGATGCTCAGGAGGGTCACCAGATGACACAGAACTGAGCTCTGTGTTTACACCAGGACAGAACGTAAAGGGTCTTTATTTTAATCTTCTGTTGAAAATACTTTCCTCCATCTCCCCTGCAGAGCTCCTCACTGGTCTGAGTAACAGATCAGAGGAACACGTTCTTTATCTTTTTACAGTGTAAACCAGCACACCATGGAGAGTTAGGATTTAGTGGTCCAGAGGAAAGCCACATGGACTCATCTGTTTCTGTTCATTTTTAATTCTTGGTCTTTAAGTGTAGAATTAGTGATAATGTTTCATAAAAATATTCAGAAAATCAAACTAAACTGACATGAATCCATTAAACATCCGACATGGTGTTGCAACTAGAACAGACTGCCAAAATATCAAACTTTCCTGGTTTGATATTTTCAGGGTCAGTTCTGTGTCTGTTGTTTATGTCCAGCAGTGACGACTGACGTTCACACTAGATGATGAAACTCACAAAGTGTCACCGCTTCATTTATTAATGAGAGTCTCAGTTACCTTTGTTGAACCAACCTCCACTTATTATAAAGCTGTAGATCAGGGGTCGACAAGTCAGTTATTCCTCAGGCCAACTTTTTTCTAATCCATTAGACAGCGGCCAGAACATAACTGAAGTCTAATTTAAGATATTGATAAAAATGCAACTGGAATAGACTTTGTTACTGTTCACATATGTGAAGCTGCGGCCAACAGTCACAGATAGAGGTGGGGGATCTGGTAAAAAAAAAATCATATGATAATATTATGGTTAATCGCAACCCATGATCTTTGTGATGATCTGCATTCTGTTTCTGCTCTGATTTTATTGTGAAAGTCCTGACCGGAAGTTTTGATTCCTGTCTTTCTGTCAATTTGACGCTTCTTTCAGATGTTTCCCCGCTCGCTGCTGCTCTCCACCCGCGATGCTGTTCACTGACCGTGTCACGGCCAATCACACTTTTTGCTTTGTTAACATGGAGTATCTATTTGTACAGCGCTGTTATTTATTTATGAGCTGTTATATGTAAGTGTTTTAAATTGAAAGATCAGTGGCTGCTGACGAGCAGACACTGCCCCAGCTAACACTGCCTCTGGTTGTCACTCTGATCTCCTCAGAGACCCTCTCATGGTGGTGATGTCATTTTCAATAGGTGGAGCTTTTATACACATTGATCTGTTATCTTGAACATAACCTGACGGGCGGGTCAGGAGGTCAGCATCAGTTACTATAGTGATTTACCCCGGTAACAAGTAAACCACCACCGTAGGACTGAAAACCCAGAGTTAAGGCTGAAGCTACCTGATGACATCACACCCTGGGGCAGTCCAGACCTCTAGTTTAGTTTTGTTGAACACTCAAAGTGGAACAAACCTGTCTGATGAAGAATTGATGGAAAAGTGCTACAGATGTGTCCAAAACAGCCCTAAAAACAAACAGCGAAAATCATATCAGTCAATCACATTCAGATCATTAATACACAATATGATCAGATAAAACATTTTGATGTATCATTACAGATTGAGCTACCCAATAGTCAGTCAAGTAGGTAAAATTAACCCCGCCTTGCTGTGACATTAAAGTGATGAACGCATGAATGCACCAATAATTATAATACATTAATACAAGTACTTTTAGTAACTCAAGTGTATTGCAATGATATTTTTGTACTGAAATAATAAGATTTTAAATTTTAAATAATTAGAAAATTTGATAATTCTGTGGTGTTAAAGACACCATTGAACTGTTGAATTGTTTCCCCTTGAACCAAACCTTATTTCTTATCTCAGTGATGCTGCTACAGGCCTACACTGCTGGGGACTCCCATGATGCACTGAGCTCATCTCTCTCTCGGAGTGCATGCTGGGAGTGAGGTGTGTGAGTGAGTGAACGGGTGACTGATTTTTCTTGCTCTTTCTTTTTGATTTTTTAACAAACAAACAAATGAGCGATGAGGGGAAAGGCAGCTATGTGTGTTTTAATTATTTTATTTGTTTTTACTCTAGTTTTTAACATCCCACTCATAATGGGTGTTTTTAAACTGGGTGTTTTAAATGTAAATGAGTTAGAGAGGCAAGAAAGAGAGCTTTTATGTATGAAACGCTAAAAAATTATGTATTTTTCTTACAAGAAACGCACAGTGATTTTACAAATGAAGCAGAATGGAGGAGGGAAGGGGAACACAACACTTCTCTGAGTGGAGGAGTGGGCTTCCTCTTCTCCAGGGCTTTTAAACCCAACTCACTGGAGGTCCCACACTTTGTTGAGGGGAGGTTGCTTTAAATCAGAGCTCAGTTCGACCATTTTAAAGCTGTTTTTATCAGTGTTTATGCTCCAACAGAGAGGAAGCAGTTTTTACTTAAAATTCATGATGTTTAAAATGGTTCTGCCTCTGAGGATTTTTTATTCTTCAGAGAACCATTGATCAGTGTGGCCAGGCTGGATGTCAGCAGTGATACTACACCTAGCCTGATGGGAGCGCTGATACGGTCTGGGAACCTGACCCTGCGACAGCTGGTGGATGCTGTGGGGCCGGCGCTGAGCGATGCCCAGGCCCTGGGCTCTCTGCTCGGGCCGGAGTCTGTCTGGGTGGCCCAGAGGATCCTGGGGCTCTGGGCCTGACCCTCCACTGTGTGGTCACAGAGACTTGGACAGAATGGACCAGGCCCTCAGTGGAGGATTTTATAAGCCCCCCCTGAAGAAACGGACTGGTGACCTCCAGTGGAGGATTTTACATGGTGCCTCTAATGCTTTTATTTCTGTTCTTAATCCTGCTGTTTTAAACAAATGTCCAATCTGTAACCAACATGAGACTGTTCCATGTTTTTACTGAGTGTAAGAGACTCACTGAGCTCCTCTCTCTTTTAACATTGGTTCTTAGTCTCTTTTACATTGTTTTTAACCAGAGGGTTTTTATCATGGGAGCTGGCTGCAACAAAGACAAAAAAAAACAAGTGGCAGCTCCTGAAGTTCCTCTGAGGAGAAGCAAAGATGGCGATTTACATTAGCAGGAAGAACAGAATAGAGAACAGAGAAGGGCGGGAGGCCAAGACGGCGCGGCAGGTAAACCTCAGGGCCAGACTCTGGGTAGAGTTCAGGTTTTATAAACAAACAGGAGATTTAGAGAGTTTTAAAACAGTTTGGTGCCACAAGAACACGAACGACTCTGATGGACTGCATTTTGCACAATTTTTAACTTAATAATTTATTTAAAAAAATGTGATTTGCACAAGCACTTTATTTTAAATGAACTCAATGTTTGAGATGATGAATATGTAAATAGTGTTTTTTTAAAAAATAAAAAAAACATCTCTTTCTGTCTCTCTCTGTCTCTCTCTCTCTCTCGCCCTCTGATCGTGCAACTGCATGATGCAGATCTGCCACGACAACACTCATCATTTTTTATAATTATTATTTGTGTCATGTGTAGTCTTGTGTTACCCTGATATCCCATTGGAGCTTGTGGCAATGTTTTCAGCACTGACTTGACAGTCCGGAAGCTCAACATTCAAACGTCCTTGCTGGGTTCGGATCAGTCTCACTCCAATCTTGGTGCTCACGCCGCTTCCTTCAAAGGCAATGGTGTTGCTGTAACTGGAACAGAAAACAAATCAATTACTTGAGTTTAAATAGTTTCTCCAGTGATCAGTGCATTGAGATGATGAGACTTTAGCTGAAGTGACCGTATATCCTCATAATGTGTTAAAGGCGACATGAAGTGACATGTGACTCTTGCTCGTGATGTGCAGAGAAGTGTTAAATTTGTATAATTTTGAATGGAGTTGCCTCAGTGGTTCACCTGGTAGCACGTACCACATAGGCTCAGTCCTAACTGCAGAGGCCACCCTCTCTCCCCGACTCTCCTGTCTACCTCACTGTGCTATAACAATAATGGCAAAAGAAGAGAAACTTTTCTGTTCTCTCAGGCTGCATCACTTGTAGATTTTAAATTTTATTTTGCTGAAGTCTTTTTTTTTATCATCATTTTTTAAAGATTTTTTGTTTTTCATTTTATTTGACAGTCGATAGCAAAGAAGCCACAAAGGTCCCCTGCAGGAATCCAACTATGGATGTTGGGTTTATGAGTCATGTAACCAGAACTGCAGCATGAGTCATGGTCAGAGTTTGACCACCGTCATGTGACCACTTGGCGTGACTGTGGTTCTGGTCATAGTCGATGAGAATGATCAAGTACATTGAATTGTACACGTTGAATTGAAACATGTTCATTCAATTGTTTAATTTTGTAGAAAAAAAACTAATCACAGACATTCCACAAAACTATTATTATTTTACTATTATTATTCAAAACACCAACCTTCTGGCTTTAAGAAACATAAAAAAAAGAAAGACAAGTGTTGTAGTCAGTCACAATTGCTTTTTTTTCCGTGATGATTTATCTTCTTGAAGAAGTTTTATAATCCTCTCCTTTGTTTAAACTGACATCTCTCGTGTTGGAGCCATGATTCATGTCAATCCACTCTTTTTTAACTGCAGACTAATTAGCAGATTTAATCTGATGCAGGTGTTTGTTTTAGAACTACAAATTAAAGGCTGATTCCATAATATTTTCCTCAGAATTGAGTGATTCCATATTTTTTCTTCTGCTTGATCTAAAAAAGCAATTGTGACTGACAACAACAATTTTCTTTCTTTCTTTTTTTATTGTTTCTTAAAGCCAGAAGGTTGGTATTTTGAATAATGATAACTTTGTGGCATGTCTGTGATTAGCTTTTTTCTACAAAATTAAACAACTGAATGAACATCCTCCAAGAGTGGTGATTCCATCATGTACAACTGCATTTACACTGCAGCAGTAATAATACACTAACGGCACATTTCCTTACCTGATGATTCATGACAGATGAGCATAATATGGTTCATAATCATCTAGACTATTAAAATTACAGGCCAAATCATCAGTAAAAAAAATCAATTTCCGTTGCAGCTGAAGGATTCTCATTACAATGATTTGGTCACCGGCACTGCAGTTTGTCTCCTCAATCATAAACTGTGGAAAATAGTTTAGGAGCATTTGTGTTTTTATACGTACATATTGCCAAATAAACACAGATTCACTTCTGTCCCAAGTTCCGCGGTGAAATGCAGGTCCTTGATTTCAAACTGGGGACCAGAATTCTCAACACCAACAACGATTTGAGCTGGATCCACTGTCAGATTAGTTAATGTCAATCTGAGAGGGTGGAGGGGGTGGGGGATGGACAAGGAGAGTATGAGGATGTGATGAAAATCTAAATCATCATCATTTTCCAGTACTGTTTACGGCTTTTTTACCAGTTGCCCCTAAATGTCTTTACTTTCAGTATTGACCTCTATATAGACAAGTTTTCATTGTTAGAGTCCGCCATCAACATTATCTACTGTATGTTTAAACATGTCTCACCATAATGGTTACCTATGATTTAACAGAACACCAACAAGAAAAAGAAAAAAAATGGAGAATAACATTTTCAAAAATTGAATTAATAGAGATAAAAAAATTGAATTAAAAATAAAATGAATAAATTAAAACAAACAAACAACTAAGCAAGACAAGAAACATAATAATAATTGTAGGAATAATGTGATGGAAACTCAGAGCTGCCACAAGAAAAACGGATCAGTATCAAGTAACGTGAAAAGTTGATTACAAAAGTTATTACAACATACAAACATCATGTTATTATAACAATATATTATTCATCACATTATAACGTGATAACAAGTATATTGTTATTCTGTATTTTTACCCTTTGATGCTGCATTCTCCAATTGCCCGTGTCCATACAAAGTCTTGGGGTTTGTTAATCAGCTCATCCAAAAACGTGAGAGCAAAATCCTTCACTGAAAAGACAGTACAAGTACTTACAGACTTACAGACTGAGATGAGAAACTGGATGAGGATGTCTGTGTGTGTGTGTGTGTGTGTGTGTGTGTGTGAATGAGAAGATGAGTTTTGATAAGTTTGTTGTGGTGACATTTAAAGCATTACTGTATGATTTAATCTTCAAATGGTTCGAGTCAGTGAGTAAATCTCAGGTAATGTTGTTATTGTTGAGTTTTTGACAGGTACTGTATGTTTCAGATATAAAAGTTTTGTCAGCTTTATAAATGAAAGTGTTTTAATGTGTATTACTGAGGTACAGTGTTTAATGTGGTTTCAACAGTGTGTGCAGATTTACAAGCAGCCAGTCCTTCGTTTGTGATTCGCACTTTGATGCCCGTCAGATTGTCGGCAGTGATGAAGGGAAACAGGGAGACCAAGAAGAAGAGGGAAAACAAACAGGAAGTCATCCTGAGCCAAAAACCTGAAACACAAGAAGAAGAATCGACATCCTGACACATTGAGTGCTAAGAAGACATTTAAAAATTCTCTCATATAAAGGTTCAACAGGGAACCTCAAGGTTTTATCTCACATGAAAAAACCTTTTACTTCAAAAAGGTCAGTCAGTGGTGTGTGGGTTTTTACTAATTTCATTAACTTAACATAAGTAACAAACAACAGCGTTATTAAATGAGGTTGCTTCAGCTGGTTATAAAATGATAGTTTATAAATTTGGGCTAAATGAAGACATGGCCACGTTGCTGTTGGTCAGTGTTGGTTTTTCGGTTACCACAGGAATACTGTCCATCGTGTTCATTTCCAAAACAGTTAACAGTAAAACAATCAAAGTACTGAAATACAAATGGAAACTTTCATCACTTTATAAAAACCTTTTAATGCAGCAACCTTACCTGTGGCTTGTGTGTTTCCGTTTCCAGCTATTGTCATAACTTCTTCAAACTCACCACTACTTATACACGTCTCCCTCATCCAGAGGATAAACTGCACCTTTGAGTCGCAACCACTTCATTAAATACACATATGGTGCCTGTGCGTGAGCTGCTATCTGTTGAAACATTCAAATTACAACTATGAGTATTTATCTCCTCTGACCTTGAGTCAGGTATTAGCATAACAGCAAAGCAGTAAATTACAGAAGCCAGTTAAAACTCAGACAACGTTGAACCAGTTATTCAACCTACAGGACTGTATTCTTTTGTTTTCTCTCTGCCTCCGTCCTTCATGGCCTTCATGTCTCCTCTTTCATTCACTTCCTTGACTGTTCACTCCGGGTCACAGCCAGTGAAATGACTCATCCTCATTATAGTCCACAAGATAATTAGACTCAGAAGACATTAATTCCAGTGTTTACTCTGATTCAGAGACAAGTGTTTGAAATAATTAATGTAAAATCAGGTTTATATGAAGCTATAGGAGGCTCACGCACCTTGCTTCAATATAGGTTGTTTTGTCCTTGTTTCGCTGAATCTCTTAATCTCTTCAACAAAGGTGGACAGTGCAAAGTTAGAACCCCGAGAGCCACGATCAACACATGAATGAGAAATATGTCAAAACAGAATTCTCTTCTAAAGTCATTTTAAAAGTGGGCTAATGACACATTTATTGTCTCACTCAGAATAAATGTATTCTCTCATCCAGAGAATAAAACTCCACCTTTGAGTCTCAAACATTTTACTAGATACAGATATGGTGCCTGTGTGTGAGCTGCTATCTGCTGAAACATCCAAATTACAACTGTGAGTTTTATCTGTCAGGTCTTAGCATACGGCAAAGCAGCAAATTACAGAAGCCTTTTACTGACTCAGAAATTGCCAAGGAGTGCATGAGTGCAATGGCTGAAACCTTACTGGAGGGAAAACAAAAGCAAGAGTTATGAGAAAAGATCAATCTCAAACTACACCTTTTTATTTTAAGATGCCTTTTTTACTTTTTGATTTTATTTGACAGTCTGTTGTTAACTACATACAGACGGTGATACAACTACTAGGCTACTTCAGAATATATGGCACTGAATCATAACACGTTAGACATTGTGATGTTCCAGACCTTTGCTTGAGGAAATTTTCTCTAACTGGACCTCTTTGAATTTTAATTGAATACCCCTGCCCTATGCTAATGTCCTGTCTGTCTTCTATCAGTTAGGATGAAAACAAAGAAGACACAAAACAAACATTAAGAGGTTGAAATGAGGACTCACCCAACAGGGCCTTCAAGTGGGACCTGCAGACCTGCAGTCACTATCAACACGTCCAATACTGGCCTACCAAATTGGAACCAGGTCACCAATAGGCAAGTGATTGAATTCTGAGTATTTGTATCGTAACATTTTTTGACCAACAAGATTAAAAAGCATGACTTTACACCAAATAGTGTCCTTGCATTATTTTGCACATATTTGATTGCACCACCATGTCATGTCTACTAAAGAACTAAATAGTATTTCTATGAAAAGCATTTTTTTATTTGCATTCATCAGTAAATGAAGTTGTCAGATGAAAAATCATAGATGTTTGTGTAAAGTATTTATGTGAAATATGAATTTTATTTTCCACTTAAAGTGGCATGTTTGTAATTCAAGACAGAGGACTGAGAGTTTACCTGTACACACAGTACGCTCAACAATCGATGACAAAAATTCTATAATATTATAATGCCAAGAGTATAGTAGTTTTACAGGTTAATGCAAACAACGTGTATGTTTGTCTCAAACCTTAACAGTATGTTTGTCTCAAACCTTCTGATGTTAGATCTTACAGATACGCCTCATATCGTCAGTTTACATGGTGCGTGCACGGCAGGCTGGAAAGAAGAATCCACAGAGTCATTCCATCATGTGCAGTTAACAAAATAAGAAATATCTACTCTGAGCCAAGTGGAATCTATACAGGGTTTGAAGATGTAGATACTGATCATGTAGAAGTAGATGAATCTAATCTAATATTTAACCTGTAGTTCACATTTGAAACCATATAATCAGGGGCATGTGTTGCACAGCTCAACAAAATACAGTATCATACAAAAATGTTAATTATTTAAATTGAAAACATTTATACAAACCGTATAAATTTGAAAATACATAGATGTGTCCATGAAAACACGGCTTCTTGATTTAAAATGAAAGCTGTGGGTTTGAACATTGCTGGTGTTACTACTTGAAACGTGAAAACTGCTGCGTTTGAAAAATGATCTGTGATCTGGATGTTTCTCTGTTGTGGAGCCGTGGACTGTGTTCGGCTCTCTACCGCGCCCAAGCCTCGGTTTGAACCAGATACAGAGGAGAGAACATCAGCCACCATTTCCTTCATGTAACAATAATCTTTCTCAACAGCCACTGGTCTTGCTCTGAACGTCTTGTGGACTTTGCTCCATGACATTTTGAACTGGGGTTCACCAACAATCTCCCCATCTTGATAAACAGCCTGTTCAAAAACAGAAAATAGATTAATAAGAGGCGTCGGCAACAGTTTGATATACAATATCCAGATGATACTTACAAAGGGGTGAAAGTTCACTGACCTGCTCCCTGTTTGCACTGTTGTTATGATCCAGAGCAGCAGGAGGCATGGATCATCACATCATATCCAAAATGTGTTCTCTTTGGGAGGTATTTCAGGTACATGGAGTGGTACACCCGAATTTGACCTTAAAAAAACAATATCAGTCAGTCATGTCCTGCCATAAAAAATGACCACATTATATAAAGGTGAAACATTTTGTAAGACTTGTATATTTGAAAATAACTCTAGTGTTGTGTGGATGCACTTGGTCAGATGATCCAGGTCTTTCAAAAGCCGCTTTAGAGCTTTGTGGCCTTCAGATCCTGGCCTGAACCAAAGTTTACTTCTTTGGCTCGTCTCATCAAGGGGCTCATGAGCACATTGGTGTTAGTGCCTGTTCCCTGGCCAGTTGTGTCTGTTGGTAACATGGTTTATTACTGATATCCACTTCTCTTTCAACAGCTCAGCGTCACCCTCACAGGTTTGTGCACTCCAACACAGGTGATTTATAATGGATGGAGTCCACTCTCCCAGGTCCTCACATTCCCTCCTCTTAGCTGCAGCAGCCAGTTTTCTGACACTCCTTCTGCCACATGCCAGGGGTCGATTTGAGGTGTTTCTATGGACCCTCATTTGTTTTACAATTTGTGGATGTCTGTCAGTTGAGATGGTAGAGACATTTACTTAAGAGCTTCCTATGGTTTTAAGAGCTTCGTTAAAACCTCTGATTTCCATAGCATTAGAGTTTGAAACTTGGGTGCAGCTTACTTTAAAGTCCACAACCTTTCGTCTCTGCGGATCTAAAAAAGTGTATGTGCAGTATTTGGCTGAGTGGCCAGGAGAGTCGCACCGGCCATCTCCACAGCTTTTGCTTTTTTTGTGATTCCATGCGAGATAGCACTGCACTCTGCTCTTTTCAATAACAGGAAACACAAACTTTTTCCTCAGTGTTGTGTATGTGTCCTCACTTATTGTTTTGAGGTTAAGGTTCCTACAGAACCATTCAAATTTAGCTAAGTGGATGCCACTGAAGAAAACTGATGCAGCCAAAAGCAGGTTTCCTGCCCCTTTGGTCCCAGTCACAGTAGGCTGAGACTGCCATCTGTAAATACAGCAGTTGGCACATGTGAGCTCTACAGTCAACTGTGAGCCTTCATTATGCAGCTCTCTCATATCTTCCTTGATGATCAGGTAGCCACACTTTGAGCAGAGCTGAAACAATTGTTTTAACTGTTCCTCGGTAACTAGACAAAGCCTATTTTCTTTATGGGTGTCTGCTGAAGTAGGTGACTCCTGGGTGCTTGCTGAACTGAATGGACTGGTGGATTGTCAGGTTCCTCCATGATCTGGGTCGTGTCCGCTGGTTCCCCTGAAGAGGCTTGTTTACATCCTAGCAGGAGCACATCCAGCGTCTCCTGTCTGACGTTTGTTCGAGCAACTTTCACTCGTTATCCTGCGGCGTTTAGACTCCTTATGGGAGAAAATTGTAGGCACAGCATTTGGTTTTTAGTCTTTGCTTATCAGCAACACCTGTGAGCTCTTTTAGCAGCTGTGGTCGGCTAAATGCTTCCAATGCATTAGGAGAGAAGTGGCGAGAGCACAACCCCCGCAGTTGTTCTTTCGGAAATTGTGTTCATCCACAAGCATTTTCCCACCCCGCTCTCCTCTTCTTATCGCTAGGAAAAATGTGATGACTTTGTTTTGCATTGTATTGATAATTTTCCTGCTATTAGCATAACGGAAGGTTTTCGTGTGTTTCTAACAATGTATTTTAGTAGGAGAAGGTGATTATAGTGTATTAAGGCCTACAAGTCTTAATAGTCGGGGTTCCTTTTAACAGGTCCACAAGCTTGGCCATGATCATAAACACACCTGACACTTGTATTGCATGAATTAGTTTTGTTTGTTTCTTTTTTTAAAAAAGAAAGAAAACCAATCAGAGAGTATCTTGCTTATTAGGAACAGCGCAGAGTCTATGCAGTGAGGAGAGACTGAGCAAACATATTGGATGAAACCGTAAAAATATTTTATTCATTATTATCATCTTATTTATTATTTATTATTTAATGTTCCTCTTCTGCAATCAATTCTGAGTCAGTTGCCATGATCAGCTACTCAATGCAGCTGCAATGTGAACTATCATCTTCACATGCAGCCTCTTCCCTCCAAATTTAAAGAGAATTAAGCGAGCATCAGATGTGGTGACACAGCAGGAATGCTCACCTCATTTTTTCAAGCCCAAGGCAAGTCTCTTATGGTTGTAATATAGGTGTTCTGTCCCCTGCTGCTGCCACACAGTGCTGTGAATACTGCATCACCATATCAAATGAATTCAAAGCATGTGCTGCATCATCATCACTCTCTTATCTATAAAATGATTCATGATACTAAGGGAGGGAACAGGGATGGGAATAAAAATCAGCCTGGACTTCTGGATTGGACTGACCCACCAGAACCCTTCTGAAGACAGT